ATGCTAAAGTAGCTCTCCCACTAGCTACCTGACTGAAATTTAACCATCTTGCTTTAGTTTCCTCCTCTGTATAATCAGGATAGTGGTACTGTATTAGTTAGCTTTCCATCACTGGGGCAAACAAAATAGCCAACTTAAAAGAAGGAAAGTTGTATCTCAGTTTTTTGAACTCATGTTGGCACAGTACATCATGGAAGGGATTGCATGGCAGAGAACACCTGCTTACCTCAAGAGAGAGACAGGAACTGATTTTGACATTATCTTTTCTTTCTTCTTTTGATGGCTGAGAAATAAAGAGAGGAAGGAGGTTCCAATATTCCTTTCAAGGACACAACCCCAATGACCTAGGCCTTACATCCTAAAGGTTTTACCACCTCCCAGTAGTGGTACAGACTGACAACTAAGGTTTTAATACATGAGCCCTTGGGGGACACTTCAGATCCAAACTATAACACAGACCTTCTTTGAAGGGCTGCTATAATGTTCAAATATGTTGAGATACGGGAATTGACTAGTGTGCTGCCAGACTCATAATGGAATACCGTGATCATCATCCATCATCCGAATGGCATCACTATCCTATAATTAGTTGCTTATGGATGCTCCTGTATCCACATTAGGTTGGATTCCAGAGCAGCTTTCCTGTTTCAAGCAGGCTAGAAACCACCTTATAAGGAAGAAGCATATGGCTTAGTTTGCTAATCAGAAAAGTTCCAGGAATCACTTATTTAGCCAAAAATGTTTAGGTAGCCCTGCTGTGTATCACATCCTTTCATCAAATAGAACAAGAGAATAATAAAAAGGTAATATCTTTGACCTGTTTTCTGTGGTTTGAAATGTGCTAAAAGATCTGACCAGAATGTTACTTCTCAGTCCTGACATTATCCAAATCCTCTATTTTTATTTATTTATTTTTTATTTTTTGAGAGAATTTTTTAATACTTATTTTTTAGTTTTCTACAGACACAACATTTTTGTTTGTATGTGGTGCTTGAAGATCGAACCCAGGCCGCATGCATGCCAGGCAAGCGCACTACCGCTTGAGCCACATCCCCAGCCCCCCAAATCCTCTGTTTTTGACACACATTGGTTTAGCTGACCAGTGCTAGGAAACAGTACCTTGAGAAAGGAAGACACAGAGCAGGTACAGTCTGAGGGCCCAAAGACTTAAGATGCTGTTGCTGCTGCTGCTGCTTCTGCTGGCAATGGTGATGGTGGTGAAGAAGCTGGTAATGATGATGATGTTTATCAATATTTTATTATGTACCATCTGTATATGTGTTTTACAGATGACTAGATTTGTTACTCATAAGGACCCCATGGTACTAGACATTTCCTATTATGTAAATAATGAAACTGAAGTTTAAAGAAATTAAGAAACACAACCAAGGTTTACACTTACAACCAGTAAGAGTGGGAGTCAGGATTTGAACCAGGATCTTTGAGCATAGGGCCTGCACTGACACATGGAAATACTCCCCAGAAATATGGATCCTGGGCCTAGGGACAGGAGAGGGTGATGACTGGTATGTGCAGTTCTTTGCTACCAGGAAACAAGACAGCAGGTGGGAGAGAGGCCTTCTGAGACAAAAGGTGACACAGCATCCATGTTTGACACAGCACCCTCCACATGTATCTCTATTACTGAGGTACATGTGGAGGGTGAGCTGGCCCACTCTGGCCTCTGAGGTGAGTGAAAGCCTTCACCTGGTTTCTGGAAATGTATTTTTAGTGGGTGGTGGTGCCTTGACAGATCCTCACATGTCACTGCTGGACAATACATCTGTCCTTTGGCACCACTGGCAGCAGCACTGAGTGACAAAATTTATTATAGTAGCATTCACTCCCTAAACCTAAGGTGTGGTTAAAACATTGCTGTTTTTATTAGTAAAACACATAATGGGTTCACTCACATGAGTTCTGAAGAAAGAAATCCAGTTCCTCCTTGATCTTTTTGCATTTTTATTTTTATTTTTTAAGAAATGACTAGAGACTTGGCTTCCAAAAAGGATGAATGACTGCCTGCTGCTGACTCACTGCTCAGCTGTGACTGCCTCTGGCCAAGAGGGAGGCTCAAAGAGCATCCGCAGAGGAGCCGCCTCCGAGTCCTTTCTGCTTCACATCAACATTCACTACAACCTCCCAGGGTCCTGGGTTTTAAGCTTCTCACTGCCCTCCCCAGATCAGTCCCACTCCCCTTGACCCCACTGACCTGTTTTCTCTTCCCAAACCTAGATTCTTCAATCCTCAATGGGACATGCTGCATTTCTCCCTTCTCTTCCCCTTCCCATTCCAACTCAGCACAAAAGAAATGTTTTCATCCTCTTTGTCTGATATTATAGAGAAGGTACCTAATGGCATTTTAGACTGAGAAATCCTAAAGCACAAAGTCTAAATTCTAGCAACCTTGACTTAACCAGACCTTTCTGGGCCATTGGTTAAATCCTTCCTGAAGCTTTGGATGAAAAACTTTGTCACTGAAACATCTGAAATTTGATTTTAGAGATATTGATAGAAACCTTCACATGTGAGAGAACTGTTAGAAAGCTCCTGAGCTATGGTTATCTGCTTGGTGTAGTGACCCAAGTGTCCCAGGTTGTTTTTATTTGTATTTTTTCCCTCAGGTCTGGGAAGCTAGCTTGGCCCTACTTAACTCAGCAGAGGCAGTTTACCAATCACATGCCCACTTACTCAAAGCATCTGAGGATACTAGCTGTCCTGCAGCTTTATACCTTGCCTAGGGTCAGCATAAATCATTACCTAGCATCTTAGTTCATTTTCCAAGATGGGTAATCTCTAATAAAATCAAATTTATGTCCAAGGCTAAAGGGCTCCATCTGGTAAAAGCCTGCATGCTGGTGAGAATTTCAGAGTGTACACAGCACAGGGCATTACATGATGGGGAGGCTCATACAAGAGACAGATGCAAGTTAGCTTTTATAGTAGACCCACTCACAGTGGAGATAAACACATTAATGCATGATGGTTAGTCCATTAACTCATCAACCCATGATTGGATTAACCCATTCATGAGGACAGAACCCTTGTAACCTGATCACCTTTTAAAGGTCCCACTTGATTCTACCTCTTACTACCTCACAATGGAGATTCAATTTTAATATGAGTTTTGGAAGGGACATTCAAACCATAAAGTTTAGTGAGCCCCAAACTCTCACTCAAAATGCAGTGGTGGGCATTGTAGAATCTTAAAGATGAGGAATTTTTGCTTGGGTGTCTTAGCTTCCCCCAAGCATTTAATCTTTTTAAAATTCATTCATTCATTTCCATATCTAGAGAGTCAAATTATGCCATTTGTAGACTACTATTATAGACTTCTATAATTACCATCTTTTAAAGAAGGAAAAGAGAAAACAAGCTGGTCCCTCTCATAGTTCCTCATCACTTCATACTGCTTACAGAGTAATTCATACAGTTTTGAAAGTAAATTAATTAAGTAGAAGTATTGTGTTATTGTTGACTGGAAGAAAGGGCAAGGTGTTATACAAAACCATCTTCAGACACAGCAAGACTTTTATAAGAAAAATGGACAGTCAGCCCTTTCCATATATTTTCCCAGGAAAACTGAATGAAGGCTATCTTCCCCAGCTACAAAACAAAACAAGAGCTAGCACCTCTGTTAGAGACTGGAGAAGTGTTCAGATGAACAAGTAAAACTCAGAACTTGAAGGTAGTCTAAGTAAATGCCTTCTGGGAAGGTAAAATCTTGAAACTATGAAAAGGCCACAGTGGTGAGAGAAGAAATGACAGTGACACTCTGCACCTTGAAGGTGAGACCAGTTCTATTCCTTGTCCACACTGATGAAGGATGACCAATAGCCTCTTAACGAGCAGAACATGAAACTGATGCCAGAATCTTCTCTATTCCCTTTAAGTATGGTAGAATGTGGGTTGCCATTCTCAGAGAATCTCTTGCCATTATCATCAAGTTTTGTTTCTAACAACCCTTTAAAGCATAATTCTATGTGAATATCTGGATAGTTCTTCCCTGCTATAAATGTTGGTGTGCTCCCAATATTCACATGTTGAAACTTAATCCCCAAAGAAATAGTATTAAGAGGTGGGGCCTAAAGCAAATGACTAGGTCATGAGGGCTGTGCTCTCATAAATGTGATTAATGGCCTTTTAGAAGAGGTTGAAATGCATGCCCTAGCTCCTTTGTCTCCTTCTGCCATGTGAGGGTGTAGCAAGAGATACCATCTATAAAGCAGAGGGTACATCCTTACCAGACACTAAATCCACTGGCACCTTGATTGGGAACTTCCCAGCCTCCAAAGCAGTGAGAAGTAAATTTCTATTATTTATAAATTACCCAGTTTAAGGCATTTTGTTATAACAGCCTGAATGAACTGAGACATACCCCATTGTTGATTCTGATACCCAGAGCATCCTAAGCACAGGAAATAGCCATCTCCTGCTCCTTTATCCCCTAGGAACTCTGTCTGAACAAGGCCTGTTTCCATCTGGACGTATTGTTCTCATGTAATCCCCCTGCATAGCAATGTTCTCCATTCTGTCATATGTAGGCCATTTCAAAAAGACACAGAAGTTCATATGACTCTTGTGGTAGATTGATTCCATAAATGGCCTACATTTTCTGTGCTCATCAGTAGTGTTTCCCATACTGAAACTCTGGGATAGGTCATTACTAAGTAGTTTAAATTAAAAATGTGATATTGATTTAACATTAAACAACATTATTATCAGTTCCCCACATGAAAGGGAAAAAAAGAAAACAAAAATAGATAAAGAAAGATATTTAATGATTTTAATACCCTTTCATGGTAAAACTCTCAGAAAACAATGTAAAATTGTGGGTTGACCAGAACTCTTGTACTTTGCTTATGAGATTGTATGTTACTTCAATAACTTTGGGAAACATTTTGGAAGTTTCTTAAGTTAGACACATACCTACTTTATTATCCAGTAAGTCTATGTTTAGGTAATTAACCAAGAGAAATGAAAACAAAATGCAGAATGACTTGTGTAAGAATGTGTATAACACTTTCATTCAAATGTCCAAAATAGAAACAACCATTAGACAAATATTCCATTTATACAATGGAATATTACACAGTAATAAATAGGAATGAATTCTTGAAACATACAATATCATGTTTGAATTTCTTAGAATATTATGTTAGAAATACCTCAGGCCCATAAACTGTAAAACTTCCCACTCATTCCTCTTAAATAAGACATCACAATGGATTAGTTTCATTTTAACCTGTGACACAACATAACTGCACTGTCATATGTTTAGTGGTTTTATTTTGGGGGGTATGCTTCCACTCACCATTGGCCTTCAGAGGCCTGGACACAGTCTATTCAATTGTAGCTAGCTCAGGTGCCAAATAAGAGTGAAAGTGACCCGATGTCTTTGTGGTTAGTTGAGAACAATCAACTGTTGATGAAATGGTAAAATGGCTGAGCAAGTATTAGACTGTAATCTAAAGTCAGAGGTCCAATCCTCTTTTCACCAAGTCCTGAGGTGAATAATCATATTGAATTGCAAATTCAAAGGAGCAACTTCAACTTTGCTGGGGCTTCTCCCGCCTTTTTTCTTATGGTAAGACATAGTACATTATATGTTAATCAACATTAATGCTCAACCCCATGCATAAAGCATGTACAATCAACACTCACATGCCACATAAAACATTACATTCTTACTTCCAATAAACTCACACCCTAGAGTAGTGTAATATAGTAATAACTGTAATAACTAATATAGGATGAAAGAAGCTATACACAAAAGAATAACTGAATACATATAAAATTCTGGAGGATGATTTTAGGTATGGGAACAATAATTGCCTGTGGATGTAGAGACTGACTAGAAGAGGGATTGAGGAAACTTTCCCAGACACTAAAGATGCCCTATGTCTTGACTAGGGGTATTGATTTCAGGGATATATACGTTTTTCAAAATTCATCAAGTCATGTACTTAAAATCTGTACATATCAGATTTATAATTTTAAAAGTTTACAGAATTTTAAGTTGGCATAAAAGAGGTCACCACTATGGATATCTGATTTCTAGAATAAAATCATCAGAAACACATTCTTCTCAGGATTCTCAAACTTTCCTTTGTTTCTACCATCTGTGGATTACCTCATTGGACAGAGACTTGCAGGGGAAAAAAAGTGCACACAGCTTTATTTGATTTGGCATTTCTAGTTGTTTGCCACAGGATAGTTTAAAATAATCCTATTATTTTGTGCTGGAACCAGAAGTCTTTACCTTCTCTAGAGATTTTGTCTAGGGTACATAGTTAAGTATTATCAGTTGCCTCTCTCTCAGTCCCATACCTGAATATTGTTAGCTGAGCCACATGCTTCCCTATAAAGCATTGAAAAAGAAAGCAGAAAATGTGGACACGGAAACCAACATCTCCTTTGGGATGCCGACAGATGGCTATGTCATCTTCTATTCTTGTTTATCTTTTATCTTCTGCCTTGTATTTTTCACCCATGTTTAAGAGCCATGTTGAATTTCCCTCAAAATGTTATATCTAACCTGTTTATTGAGTTTTAGTGCTTGGTCCTAAATAATTAAAATTAAATAAGTCAACACAAAGGATCCAAGTTTTATTTGTGGTTAATTTAAATGCTTCTAAACACAATGAAAACCAAATTTAGGATCACTCACTGCGGCTATTTACACTGAACAATCTTGTGTACACGCAATGTTTAGAAGCTCTTCATCTACATGGGGAATTTCCTTGCTCCTGTGATTTTAAACTTCCCACGATATCATTGCACTAAAACTCTCATTTGTGCTAAAATATTTAAAACAGGGAAAAATGGCACCAAACAGTGAGAGGAGTACCATATACCACATATGTGAGAAGGGTGCTTCTACTGGTAGGCATGTTAATCGGGATGTGAATCTGCAGTCTTTATTGTGATAGATCCACAGATGATGGAGGGAAATACATTGAAATATGTATACGAAAGCTCATGAGAAAAAAATGTTATATATGCATATATTTTTATGAGAAAATTGTACTTTGTAGATTCTAAGATATACCTTCTATTGTCATACAACTATATGAATATTTTATAGAATGACTTCTATAAACATCTATTTCCCCAAACATCTATTATGGAATCAGTAGTGTAATTTTACAATTGATAACCTCCTAATTACAGAAGTGCTTCATTCACATGCAGAGAGTTGGAACTTCAGCAGGGAAGAGTGACATCCAGGTATGCATTTTCTCAGGTACCCAGATGTTCAGACCTCCAAAATGAGAATCTTTCACAAAATCAATATTTTCTGTTTATCAAGTAATTTTCTGGGAACTACTTCAAATATGCTTTCCAAATAACACAAACTTCTAATAAAGTTGAGAAATATTTATTTTAATTAAAAAATACACCTTAAACACAGTTGAATTATTTTGGTCAAAGTGTCAAAGAAGTGCTAACTGAATAAAAATGGAATCATTTTTATAATATTCTAAGATTCATCAATTGAATGCCTCTACTGAAGGGCAGAAATGAGGAAATGCATTTTAAAACTTGGGGAAACTTGGTAAATCTTCCATCTTTTGTTCAGTCTGTTTTATAGTAGAAAACAGTGTCTTGCACACAGTTGATATCCAAGTATATATTTAATGATTGCAAGTTTTTAGTAAACTGTATTTATCTGTCAAGAAACAGAGAATAATTTCAATCTTTACATAAAAAGTCTATGATGTTAATAATTTGCCTAGTACAGATATGATCTTAGAGTCACTTTGTAAAATCTCTTTGTACTATTAACCATTACATTAAAGTGCAGACACAGCTTAAAATTCTTGAATGAGGGCTGGGGATGTGGCTCAAGCGGTGGTGCGCTGGCCTGGCATTTGTGCGGCCCGGGTTCTATCCTCAACACCACATACAAACAAAGACGTGTGTCCACCAATGATAACTAAAAAAATAAACATTAAAATTCTCTCTCTCTCTCTCTAAAAAAAAAAAAAAAAAATTCTTGAATGAATGCATGCTGAGAGATGCACTTGGAAGACCTAAGCACTTGGCCCCTTATCTCAAGGTTCATTTCTTCCCATACCATTAGAAAGAGCTAATTACTTAGCTGTTGAAATCATAAGCCACACATTGATTTTTTTTTTAAATTTTGAGACAGGGTCTCACTAAGTTGCTTCTGGCCTCACTCAATTGCTGAGCCTGGCTTCAAACTTGTGATCCTCCTGCCTCTGTCTCCCAAATTGCTGGGATTACAGGCCTGCACCACCATGCCTGGCCCACACATTGATTTTTTAACTTTATAAGCTGATTCAGCAAATTAACAATAGCAAATAAATGTTTATTTAAATGATATGAAGTAAATTTGAAAACACTAAGTCAAAAATATAACTGTAGTAGAATGTAGGTGGTGGCTTTTTCTTATTTTAATTGTTAGCACTAACTGCCCCAAATACGTACCAAAATTAGCATAGCAGAAATAAGACCATATGCTAAAATGATTTAACTTCAGACCTCATTGTTTTAGACATAAATGTGGGAGATTTTTACCATATTACAAATAGAAGAAAAAAATGTGATGTCAGACTTTCAACAATGAGCCGACTGAGTGTTACAAGGTTGCAGAGAAAGTTTACCTGGATTCAAACATCCCTCTTCATCTATATCTTGCAAAGATGTGCATTCTCCAGTTCAACTCAGTCCATTCAGTTCCTCCCATATTTTCAAATTTTTCCAATAAGGAGGTAACTATTAACTTTTATTCCTCCCCAACTTCCACATGATCTTTTGGTTTCATGGTTTTGTTATATTCCTGAAATATTAATGAAGCAAGTCAGAAATGCTTCTGATTCTCTATGTTGGGAAGCAGTAGATTCTAGTAGATAGTCCATAATCACAGTCACAATTTTTACTAGAATTCATTTTGTTCAAGTTTTGTAGTCTATATTATGAGAATATTACCCTTTAACCAGGCTTGATAGGCAGAAGCATATTCTGCAGAAATAGCATGTCTCTCTTTTATCCTAGACAAATTTTCTCCATTGTATAATTATCCACCTAACCATGGGTTTCCATATGTCTTAAATACTTTTGTGAAAATATAGCTCTAATTCTCTCAGACTTTTTTTTTAGTTGTAGTTAGACACAATACACTTATTTTATTTATTTTTTTATGTGGTGCTGAGGATCGAAACCAGTGCCTCGCACATGTGAGGCAAGTGCTCTACCACTGAGCCATAACCCCAGCCCCTCTCTCAGACTTTCAACATGTCCTCATTATGAATTTTGTTCCACCAAGTCTACGATAGCGAAGAGATAATTTTGAATTCATTTGAATTTATTATCCGCTAGTATAGGGAAAGACCACCCCAATGAGAAAAAACAGGCTGCAGCAAAAGGGTCATCCACCATCACTAGCATTTGGTGGAGACTCAAAGGCAGAGAGTAGGAAAGCTTTGCAGTGAAAAAAAAAAAAGAGAAAGCTTCCGATATGCCTGATTGGAGGTTCTTGGCATGAGAAAGCTGAAGTTAGGCTAACCAGAAGTGGGATTTTGTGTGTGTTACTAGGGATTGAATTCAGGGGTGCCCTATCATGAAGTTACATCCCCAGTTCTTTTTTATTTTTATCTTGAGGCAGTATCTTGTTAAGCTACCTAGGCTTGTGATCCTCCTGCCTCAGCCTCCCATGATTACATGGGATGGTGCATGATTACAGACATGCATCATCAAGTCTGGCTGAGAAACAGGCACTTTATCTGACTGGTTTGGGAAGCATATATATATTTGTGTGTGTGTGTGTGTGTGTGTGTGTGTGTGTGTGTCTGTGTGTGTCTGTGTGGTGCTAGGGATTGAACCCAGGGCCTTGTGCATGAAGGCAAGCACTATACCAACTGAGCTATATCCTCAGCCCCAGAAGCTCCATGTCTTCTTTATGTGAGTATTGTTCCATCCAGTGCCTGTGAGTGATTCTTAAAAATAGACACACTTGTAATCCCAGCTACTAAGTACCCTGGGGCAGGAGGATAGTAAGTTTGAGGCCAGCCTCAGCAATTTAGCAAGGCTCACAGCAAATAAGCAAGACCCTGTCTCAAAACAAAAAATAAAAGGAAAGAGAATATAGTTTAGTTGTAAAGGGCCCCTCACTTCAATCCCCAGTAGCAAAGAAAATATATAGTAGTAGTAGTAGTAGTAGTAATAATAATAATAATAATAATAATAAATCTGACGGTTATTGACTAATTCTTGACCATTCTAGGCTGGATTACTAGAAGTCAAGGTTTTACTTCCTGAATTGGTAACTAGAGTTTGTGGGTCAGAGTTCTATTGTCATGTATGCTGTGACCACTATCTCTTTGTACATGCAGTCTCCTAAACGTCAAAATTTTCTTTTAGGGCTGGGGATGTAGCTCAGTTGGTAGAGTGCTTGCCTTGCATGCACAAGGCCCTGGGGTTCAAAACCCAGCAACACACACACATACACACACACACACACACACACACACACACACACACACAGAGTTTATGTAGCTACTTGGATTAGATCCAGGGATGACTGTAACTTGATGGACTCCCTAGGACCTGGCATAAGAGTTGGGGCAGCTAATGGAACATCCTGATATCTGCAGCCATATACAGGGGAGACAGTGGACTCAGTGACATGCATAAGGAAACAGATGTGATGATCCAGACTTCCTTCAACTACCTTCTCAAGATTCAGTGAGATCATTATTGGGAAAGGTGAGCACACGTATGCAGTCTTATAATCCCTGCGTGGCCCCATAAGAATGAGCCTTGGACCCAGAGCACTTCCTTACCACAGATAGTAGCATTCACAGCCTGTGTGAAGAATGCCTTTCCCTGTTTCTGACTCAGTAAGTAGTTCTGTGTTCTCTTAAGCCTGTGCATCTCTTGGTATCTGGCTAACCCCACTATACTATATCTGTTTCTGGTAGGGAGAGAACTGGGTCTTGGGTTTGCAGCATGAAAAAAAGCACACGCAGGTCATCATTCTGTGTCAGCTGATGACCATGGGCACCTGATACACACTGTTGATCCTACTCCATGTCTTCTTTATGTGAGAATTGTTCCATCCAGTGCCTGTGAGTCTTGTTTTTATAGTGACGTTGAATCAGAGAGTGAGTTGACATCCCATGATTGCTGTTCCTGTGAAGTAACACTTCTCCTTTGGAGGTGATAACAGGTTGTCCCTTGCTCAACATCTGTCATCAAGGAAATCTGTATAGAAAGAGGGGACCCAGGAATGAGAAAACGGTCCAAGATAAGGGTTAAACCCCAGTTTCTGGAATACTACCAGACACAGAATAGATAAACGAGTGAACAGAAAGACTGAGAAAAAAATGCAGAATGCACATCCTTATCCTGCAACCTATGGAAGATAAGAACTAGCACTGGGTCTGGGGTATAAGTTTCTAAGTATCAAGGCTAGAATTCAGGCACCATTAACAGAACAAGGGTCTAAGATTTTACTTGTCCCTGATCTACTCTAAACACTTTATAATTAGAAATTCAATGGTCCCATGATTAGAAATTAAAGAAATTGTGACTGCCTAGAAGACAATGTCACAAGCCATGGCCTCTGCCATCAGGCCTAGTGTCCACCTCCCTGCAGGAGACTCTTGGGATTAAATTGCTTGGGTTATTCTTCCTCTCAGAGCTCCTCCTTCTCTGCCTAAATACACATCCTTGATGTCTTTCCAGTGTCTTTCTGTGCCTGCAAGGGCATTCTCAGGTCCTCAGTTCCCTGACACCTCTTCTTCAGTGTTCCCTCTCCCACCTTCCCTTGGCCTTAGCTCAACCTGATCTACCCACCCACCTCCAGGTCTTCTCCACGGGCCCTTCTGAGTAACACATGCTCCTTCTCTCACACTTCCCCAGAATCTTCTTTTTATGCTTGTTATCATCGCTACTCCTTCATCTTGTAACAAGGTTCCTGCTTTAAGCTGATTCCTTTTTAGCTATAGCACCCTCTACACTTCCTCTAAAGCCATCATGTCACAGTTGATATTCTTTCATATCTTCCAATTTCTCTTAAGATAAAGACCAACATCTCTCACAAGGCCCTGTAAGGCTGTAAGTGAACTGGACCTTGCCACCAGCACCCATGGAGAATAAATAAATCCCCATTATGCCTCTGGCTTGATGTCACAGTTGGTTTATCTTTAATCTAAGTGAACATGCTCTCTACCTCCAGGTCTAGAGGCTCCACCTCAGAGACTTTAGCCATTCCATCATTCATCCAACAAGTATTCATCAAGAGTGTACCACTCATGGGATTTTAAGGTAGATACTGAGGATGTGGCAATAAAACAGCAGATGTGGTTCTTGTTCCTCAAGGAAGTAAGATCCCATCCCAGTGTTGCTCAAATCACCCTGAGGTCCACTTAAAGCCCAAATGCTGGGCCCTACCCTCAAAGTCTCTTGTCCAATACATCTAAAGAATCTGTATTCCTAACAAGGTCCCAGGTCATGTTGATGCTGTTGGTCCAGGGACCACCCTTTAAGAACTCTTGCTCTTGGCAGAGCATACAGGTAAAATACAACTAATTAAACATTATTATAGAAAAAATTATATTGTTGACTTAGATGCTGAGGACAAGCACAGGATAATAGAGTCTACATTAGCAAAAGTTTCCCTTGAACTTTCATGGAGCTGAACCTTGGGAATGAGCTAGAATTGGGTATACGAAAAAAGACGGAGGAGATTCTAGGCAAGTAGCCTTTGTGAAGGCTCTAGGGTGGGAGGGTTAGATGCATTTAGGGAATTAAAAGAAGGCCCTGGCCAGAGGACAGAAAAAGAATGAGAACATGAGCTCAGGTAGTTAGTTGGACCAGGTGGTGTTTGCTGCTATCCCTAAGATAGTGCTTTGGCATTCAGGGTGCATGTGAGACTACCTCCTGGGAAGATTATTTTAAAAATTAATGCCCAAAAACTTGGATTTAATTGATCTAAGGTGGGGGCTGGGTTTTGGTAAGTTAAAAAGAAAATCTTCCCAGATAATTATACTTAGTAATCCAGGGTTGAAACTCTAGAGAGATATGCAAACTTATCTTTTGCACCCCTTCTTCAAAAAAGACTTTTTTCTTTCCCAAGTAGTTGGATATGCTCTTCTGTTTGTGGCTGAATTTTCACTATGTCATCTTACTTAAAGTGTTTTGTTGTGTTTGTTTGTTTGTTGGGAGTGTAAGAAGTACTATGTCTCATGTAATTGACTATTTCCCATACAGCTTAGTTTTCATGATTGAATAAAGAGCTAATACAGAGTGTTCATTATTTTGTATGTTTACCAATAAGCTTCTGGTCTTCTCCCATCTCACTGCTTTAACAGAGACCAATGATCTTCCATTCTCTGCTCACATTGTCACTTGAGTCAATGCATACCTATTTATAAGACAAGGGAAGGGGAGACGGGAGCAGTGGACTGAGGAGCAGAGGACAGCATCCTGAGCAAGGAATTTTCCCATGGCCTCAAGAGTTTGTCCACAGGGGAGGAAGAGAAAACCAAGGAGAGACACCTGTGGGTTGAGTGTTTCCACACTCCACACCTGCTGCTTTATTTTGTGTTCACAAGTGACAGGTATAATTGGTACCATCACTCCATTTTTCCCACAAGAAAACCAAGAGTAAAAAGAGTTTATATCACTTTCTTAAATTTATGTCACATTTTTACTCCGTGTTAGACATAGTATTAAATGTTTTCTTTTCTTTTTTTTTTTTTTAATTTTTTTGTTGCAAGGATTGAACCCAAGAGCACTTAACAACTGAGCCACATCCTCATTCCTTTTAAATATTTTATTTAGAGACAGAGTCTTGCTGAGTTGCTGAGGGCCTTGTCGAGTTGCTGAAGCTAGCTTGGAATTTGTGATCCTCCTTCCTCAGCCTCCTAAGCCGCTGGGATTATAGGCATGTGCCTATAAGTTTGATAAAATAATTTCTATGAATTATTTTATCAAACCCTTAGAACTGCATCAGTTACTAAGAAACAGTTTTCAAGAGACAAAATAACCCCTCTGAACACACTAAGAGGTAAGTGAATTGGAAATCAGGCAGGACCTTTGAAAAGGACCCAAATTCTGGGCTTTTAGTATTAAGTAACAGACATACATGAGAAATGGGAACATGAAGTTAAGGAGAAAATTCTGTAAACTGACCCCTACATGCTTTATTTTTAAAAATCAATGTACTTGCATCCGGCCTAGATTAAGTCAATAGGATATGTTATATTCCTCAGCAAACAACCTTTTATCTGTAGGAGAAATGTAGGCCTGAAATGCCAATAAGAACACAAGTTACCCTGAAGTGGGGGACTTTTGTGACCTTACACAGACTAGGTTCCAGAACTGGGGGAGATACGGATAATTCTCCTAACCATAAAATATAAAGGCCACCCCCGGCATTAGAACTGCTCAGGATGGGCATAAATGACCTGGGGTTGCCCTGAACCTTCACCATGCCCCGTGGGGACTTGGAAGTTTGGTTCAATCCTTCTGTCAGTCAAAAGTCTAGGGGTGGACCTGGGCAGGACTCTCTGGCAACCTCCCTGGGACTCCCAATAAAATTGGAAGGCAGGAGGGACATACCATCCTCTTCTCTTGGAGGACCCACTCTCTCACTTAAAAATGTCTCCTCTGTCCCTTTTAATAAACTTTTAGTGCCTGCTACTCTCGATGACATGTCTGAAATCTTTCTGACAAGAATGGGTGAGAAAGGACCATCATGGCTGCCTCAGCTCCTTGAAAGGCCCTGGCCCTGTTACATTAGTACTATGCTGCCTCACTTGCCAGAGGGGTTGGACTTGGGTCTATTGAACCCCAAGCCACTGGCTTTTCTAATGATACACTGAAGATGAAAAGGGAGAAGTTTCTGGCATAGAGAATGGAGGGTCAGGCAGGAAGGCCTTAGAAAAGAAAAAGGTGAGACACCAGAGGCCATTGGTTGAGATTTAGAGATATTGTCTTCCTGAGGTGATCTGTGTAGAGCTCCATTCCTGCAGCCGAGGGCAACAGGGACAAAAGTGGAACCTGGAAGTTCTTGAAGATTCAAGAGGGGATGTAAATTGCTATTATGTGCATGAGAACACAAACGAAAAAGTGACACCATATAAATAGACCCAATTAAAAATGCACATGTGTTAAGGGCACTGCTAAAACTGGATTGAGGACCTGGAGCCAGTGGGTGTTAGCCTGGGAAGTGAGTGTGAGCTGGGAGTGGAGAGTGGGAAAGAAGGCGCAGGCAGGACAGATGTTTTGACAACATGGTGTGAGCATCAGGAGATGCTGGTTGACATTGCCAGGATGAGATGCAGGTGAGGATCTTAGCCAAGATGAGGCAAAAGATGAGGGCAGTGGAATTAGAGGTGAAAGGCGGGCAGGCCTCACTAGAGTTTTCAGAACCATTGAGTGTGGATGAAAATTTCTACACAATACAGAGCTGAATGGAGAGTTGCACTGTAATCCCAGTGACTCAGGAGGATCCCAGGTTCAGTGCCAGCTTCAGCAACTTAGTAAGACTCTGTCTCAAAAAGTAAAAAAAAAAGATGGGGTGGGAGGTTGGGGATGTTGGTCAGTGGTAGTGTATGCTTGGGTTTTTAACCCTAGTACCTCTTAAAAAACAGACAGATATAGAGGCTTGTACTGGCCAGATAAACATAATGTCTGAGAGCATTCCAGTATAGGAACTGTTTTATTTTACTCCTTTAAGAAGTCAGTAAACAAAACTACAACTTCACCCATTTCCTTACCCTGACCTTCAAATTCCTATACAATAGCCAGAGGACCAAGGATCTGCCCTGGGTGATCAACCACATTCTCGATTCAGCATAGTTCTTAGATCAGCAGCATACATACCATCTCAGAGCATGTTCAAAATGCAAACTTAGCATCCTTTTCCTCTTCATCTCCTTAATTAAGATCTGGACTTTAACAAGATCCCTGCATAGCTGTATACACACTGAAGTGTGTCAAGCACTGATGGACAGTACACAAGAGACAAGGGATTTTGCCTCTTATCCAGGGGTCAAGAACATTGCCCAGAATGCTAAGGAACCAGGGGGAATTTGTGAAGGAGGGAAGAAGCTCCTTAATGCTTCTTGTTGTGCTTATCTAACATTATCTGGTTCTGCTAGATTACTGAACCAGTGATGGAGGGTGAGCCCTAACACATGGTAAAACATGCAGTTCAACATCTTATTCTAACCTGAGTGATGTAAAAGGACTTCAGACAACTAATCCTGGTTGTTTTAACTCTATTAGGAAGCACAGAATCTCTAAAAAGTCCAGAAAATAGAGGCCCAGAGGAAGTTTCCTGAGCAATGAAGGAGCACAGTATATGTAGCACAGGGGACCAGTGAGTGGGTCAAGCCTCCAGGCTTGGTTGCTCCATATAACTTGAAATCATCCATGGTGGGGGTATGTATACCACAGAGATTAGCAAATACTACTATCAAGGATTTACTTTTTCAGAGAGCCAGTTTACCACCATATAACTGTGGGAGAGTAGATAGGTCATAGCAAAGAGAAGGACCTTAATTCGTGTGCATAAAATGTGGGAGAAACTGGAAAGCAAGGAATAAGGGAAGGCCTAGGAAGGGTACTAGAAAGCCTTCATTCTAAACTCCTGGTATAACTGAGACTCCTCCACTAGCCTCATTTCTGTGTGTGTGTGTGTGTGTGTGTGTGTATGTGTGTGTGTATGTGTGTGTGTTGGAGTTGTGGGGGTACTGAGAAGTGAACCCAGGGGTTAGAAAACCCCTTCTGAGCTGCATCCCCAATCCTTTTTACTTTTTCTTTTGAGACGGGATCTCACTAAGTTGCTGAGGCTGGCCTGGAACTTGGAATCCTCCTGCCTCGGCCTCCTGAGTGGCTGGGGACAGGCATTTGACACTGCACCCAGCAGTGTCAAATGAAGCCAGTAGCTTCATTTCTAAAACCACTTTTCACAAGGCCTAAGTAGTGAAGTTTATCAAAGGTTCAAAGAGAATAAAAAATGTGCAAAATAATGTGCAGATTATAATCACAAGTTGACTAAAAAGACATAAAGATAACGAGGCAGCTATGATTTCAAGTAGTAAAATGTTCCCTTCAGTCCTTAGCTGCTGAGAAATAAGCCTGAAGAAGGTGGCCGGTGGGTTCATCTAGGGTTGAGACTTTTTGTCAGTCACATGGATATTGTGTTTACTATAATTATTATCATGTTAGTACCCAAATCAACCTTTTCTGTTGTCTTAAATTTACCTGTGGGCTTCTGAAATTATTGCTACTTCTGGTTAAAAAAATATTTTTAAATATGTCATTGGAAAATTTCTCTCCCTCTCCCTCTCTCTTTCAAGTTTAACTAACTTTTAAATGCATTTAATAAGCTATATGTCTGAAGTTCTCTGCTTCAGCCAAGTGACTTTCCTTAGTTTCCATTGAAAGCATCTTACACTTCCTCACCTCTGTGGCTTTGCTTTTCCCATGCCTCTCATTTGGAATGCCATTCCTTTTCCTTCCCACCCTGACTTCAAGGCCAGACACCACTTCCTCCAGCAAGCTCTCCCTGATCACTGCTGCTGGCCATAACCTTCTTTTCTACTCTTTACCTATCAGTGTCTGGGCAAACCTCTGGGGGTAGGGTGGGAGATGTGTCTGGTACTTTTTCAAGTGGATATTAAGGAGTGTGGCTTATCCATCATAGATGCGGAATATGGAGACCTGATAGTCAACAGTTCCCTGCAGAAGGGCTCTTGATAAAAATAGCACACAGCTTCCCCATCACAAATCTCTCCACTGTCAAGTTCCCCAGTAGTCTTCTACTCCTCAGTGCCAGTAGCATTCTGTCCTCTTTGTTGTTCTAAAACTAGAAGTTGTCACGAGGGCAGTGGTGCCTGCCAGCCAGCTCAAGTGAGCAAAAAGACTTTGGTTTTACTCAAAATCTTTGGTTTTAGCAAAGTGCATAAAACCTAATTAAAACAACCAAGGATAAGGTGCAAAATGTACGATATAATAGGCTTACCCTTGCTAGGATAAGGGAAAAGGTATGTCTCTTGACCATTTAAAATGAGTCTTTAATCAGTGAAGAGAAAAGCATAAAGTTTTGAGAACTGGGAGAAGGGAGGAGAGTGAATATTGCCAGAGACCCCTCTGGCCCCTCCTGACGGGAGCAGCACAGCTGGTAGGAGGGTGGCTGGGTCACAGGGGCTTTTTCTCTGCAAGGAGGACTTTTCCTCCAGGTACCTTTGCAAGGTTCTGTTTGTGTGGCATCACACGTGGACACAACCAGATCTGCAGAAGAGCTTCTAATTATAAACATGGTGTTTGTTCTCCTGGCATCTGATTTTCTTTTATTTACATGAAATTAGAGACATCAGCTTTGAATACTTGCTGACAATTTAATAAAAAAAGAATTTTGGTTGTGAGTTGGTTGCTTTTTATTTGTTTCCTTGTATTTCTTAAACCGAGCATCTCAAATTCACATTGGAGGGGCTGGGGATGTGGCTCAAGCGGTATCGCGATCGCCTGGTATGCCTGCGACCCGGGTTCGATCCTCAGCACCACATACCAACAAAGATGTTGTGTCCGCCGAGAACTGAAAAATAAATATAAAAAAAAAAAAAATTCACATTGGAGGTGAGATTCACATCCTACTTTCTACTAGAGAAAATCCATAAATTAATGCAAGATAGGCGTTTGACCCTGACCAGGAAGGCAGGGCAGTGGTGAGCTTAGATAAGTCTTCACCCTCTCATGATTTTTCCTTGCTTTCTTTGGCCAAAATTAAGTTGTTTTCCATTGTATTGGCACAAGGTTATGGAAGTCACCTAGGGCTCACAGTAGAAGCCTTGTATCCTCCCCACCCCCACCTCTGCCAACACCCCCACTTCCCCTGCTTATGCTCATACCTAAATTTTTTTTTCTAACTCAACAGAACCTGGAGATGTTTTGTTACAAGATAAAAATTCTTTCTCAATTCATCTCTCATACTTATGGTTCTTTGGTTGTTTTTCAAATCTATCAAAGTAGAGATTTTAAAATAAGCAATAACAAAGATAACCAAACTCTGAATATTTTTTCTCATTCAAATAGTTGGTTATGGGGCTGGGGATGTGGCTCAAGTGGTATCGTGCTTGCCTAGCATGCGTGAGGCACTGGGTTCGATTCTCAGCACCACATAAAAATAAAATATATTGTGTCCACCTAAAACTAAAAGATAAATTTAAAAAAAAAATACTCGGTGTGCGTGTGCATGATATATTGGGGATGGACCCCAAGGGCACTTTGCCACTGAGTTACACCCTCTGCCCCCTTTTAAGTTTTATTTTGAGACAGGGCCTGGCTAAATCGCTCAGGCTAGCCTTGAACTTGGGATCCTCCTGCCCACCTCCCAACTTACTAGGATTACAGGCGTGCTTCATGGCATCTAGCTCAGATGCTTTCATTAATCAAATTAGCCTCCTTAAAGCTTGCTTTTTAAAAACATAAAAATAAATTTCTTTGAAACTATCTCCTTTTTCTTAGCCTCAAACAATTAAAATTATAATCTATTCATAGGTTCTGAGGGAGCTGTACATGATGGTTCCTTTGGGAGCCTAAATTTCAAAAGAATAAAAAGGATAAGCACAAAGAAGTTATTTAAAACAACTGGCTGAAGCTCGTGTGGTTATGAACTGCAGTGTACATAGAAAAGTTGAGCTACATATGCTTAGGAGATGGGATCAGGGGATGGCAGAGACTGACCAGGGTGCTGATCCAGAAAGTTTACTATGTGTTGGGAATCTGGTTGGTTGTGCTGGAGAGATGTTTTGAAAGGGAATATTACAGAGATTAGAAGAAAAAGGAAAACGTGACTTGGCAGGAAAGATAATACATGATATTCTAGGCAGAGGTCTAACTGTATGCCTGGGAAAGGAGACAGGGACAGACACACAGAGAAAAAGAAAACCTACAAAATTTTTAGCTATCCTGATAGGTCTGAAATGACAACTCATTGTGATTTTAATTTGTGTTCCCTTTACTATTGAGATTGTGTGGCTTTTCATGTATTTTTTTTTTTTTTGGCAGTGTTAAAGTCTAATAAAAATAAGGAGACAAATTTCCAATAGAGAACCTTTTATTTGGGAATAAACAAAGAATGGGATTGCAATCCAGAACACACACGGAACAGGCTGGGGTGGCCTCTGGTATGTCCGGAGAACAAAGGAAAGCTTGGGGGATTTTATTAGGATAGAGGAATCTATGCAAGTTGCTTTAAAAGAAATTTCATTGGCACTTTGGATGTTAGTGGGAGTTGGCAAGATGTGACTGACACGCGGTGGCAATGACTATGTGAAGTTAATCTTAAGGTTATAGTTGGCAGTTCCATCATCATTTGTGAAGCAAAAATAGTTGTCCCTCTACCCCAGTGGTACTAGGGATCAAATCCAGGGCCATGCTAAGCGGCTGCTTTACCACTGAGCCCATCCCTGGCTAAAATAGTATTAAAGACAGGAGGACAGACTCCCTTTCTTTCCTTTAGTCCTTCTACTCCATTTGAGTGGGATGTGACAGTAATGACTCCAATTTGTACGGCTTTTCACAGTTGCATGGATATCTTTTGTGTAGTGTCTCTTCAAGCCTTTTGCCTATTTTTATTGGCTTGTCTGTTTTTTCTCATTGATTTATAAGAATTCCCTAAACAACCTGGATCTAAGTCCTTTTATATATGTATTGTATTTATACTTTTATACAATGTCACTCACCTTCTCAGTCTCTCGTTAGTCCTTTTTGAAGCAAAGTTGTTGTTCAGTTTATTATTGTTTTTCTTTGTGGGTTAGAGTGTTTTCTGTTTAACAAATATTTGGGGCTGGGACATAGCTCAGTGGTAGAGCACTTGCAGCCCTGTGTTCAACCCCCAACACTTAAAAGAGGAAAAAAAAATAAGTCTTTGCCTATTCTAAAGTAAGCAATATATTGTTCATGCTTTATTCTATACTGGCTCTTTTTGATCTGTAATTCTGAGACTTAATTTTTGTAGATGGTATGAGATACAGTCAATATTTTTTTTTATACTTACTCACTTGAATCAGCACCATTTATTAAAAAGGCTACCATTTCCTCACTATTGTTTGGGGTGACATTCATCCAGATCAAGTATACCTATGTATGTGGGTCACTTTCTAGATTCTGTTTGTTAAAATTGTATCCCTGGGAGCTGGGGATATAGCTCAGTTGGTAGAGTGTTTGCCTTGCATGCACAAGGCCCTGAGTTCAATCCCCAGCACCACACACACACACACACACACACACACACACACACACACACACACTGCATCAATGCAACACTCTCTTAAGTTATTATAACTTCATAATAAATCTTGATAACTTGTCACTCATTTAGCTTTCTTGCTCTTTAATGTTACCTGAGTTATTCTTAGCCCTTTGGGTTTCTACACAATTTTAGAATCAACATTCCCTCCCCACTCCCCACTCTCCACACTGCGGTAATTTTAATGGTATTGCATTGAATCTAAAAATTAATTTGTGTTGCATTGACATCTTTATAATTTAAATCTTCTGACCCATAAATAAGACATATCTCTCCACTGGTTTCACTCTTCTTTAATTTGTTACACTAATGTTCTGAAGTCTAAGTGATGAGTTCTTACACATCTTTTAATTGGATTTGATCCTAGTTACTGATCCTTTGTGATGATATTTAAAATGTAATTTTTCCACTTCATTGCTAGCATGTAGAGATGGAGTTGACTCTCTGGCCTTGTTATATTCACTTGTTAAATAATTGGAATGTAAAGTCTTTTATATTTTATATTCTCACTATAAACATAACTTTACTTCTTCCTTTCCAATTCATATACCTTTCTTCTTATTTCTTGCCTTATAGCACTGCTTGGGACCATTAATATGATATGGAATAGAAGCAAGATAACAGACATTTTTGTCTTAGTCACAATCTTTGGAACAAGTGATGAAATATGATGTTTGTTTTAGGTGTATCAAAGATACTCTTCATTACATTAATGCATGTGTTGAAGTGCTTGCCTAATTTCTATTTCAAGTTTGCTAAGAGTTTTTTTCCCTCAAATGTGTCTTGTGCATATATTGAAAGCATTGTGTGATTGTTCTGTTTATTCTGTTAGTGTACTGAATTATGTGAACTAATTTTTAAATATTAAACCAATCTTGCATTCCTGAAATGAACTCAGCTTTTGTTATGTTATCATCTTCATTTTGCTATATTAAGGTGGCTAATGTTTTGTTCAGGATTATTGCATCTATGTCCAAGAGAGAGACGAGTTTATATTTTCCTGTCTTTTCATATTCTTGTTAGGTTTGGGTGTAAGTTTTATGCTGTCTTCATGAAGAGTTGGAGAGTTTCCCCTTCTATCTATTCTCCAGAAGAGATTGTGGGAGGTTAGTATTTATTTAGATTTATGTTTAGTTAGATTTATTAGTGAAGCCAACAAGACCTCAAAGGATTTTTGGGGGGTGGGGTGGGGTGGGAAATACAT